AGTGAGTTTGCTAGAATATACTCACTTCCGACACACAAGCACGATAGTAATAGCAACAACTTCAAAAGATATTCCAAATGGCTTGACGGATGCAACAGACTCATAAAGGGTTTTACCGAGCATGACGATAAATATTATATGGTTACTGATGGACGCTTTCGACATATTAACACCCGAGAATATTTGGACAATTGGGATTACTCAGGAGCCATCTACTCGGGAGTTTTCTACTACGACGTACATGCAATACTGGATAAATTTATACAAATAATGAACGTATAATGTACATGCAGTATAGCGACTTTTACGAACTCAAAGAGATTGGATCTGGTGGTTATTATTATGGAATTATTTATTTCTGAGGTAAGCAATAATTGGTAGTATTAATTAAAGTGATATTCAATTTACTCTGAATTCGTTTTCATTTTAATAGTTCAGAAATCATGCCAAGTGTGCAAACAGGGTTTATTTCCTTAAAATTTATGATTGTCATGGAATATGCTAACAATGGTAGTCTTTTGTCTTATCTGGATCAAAATATTAATGGGTTGTCTGTTTCTCTGGGAAGAATTGTGTCAGTTATGGCTATTAAGCAATCAACTGGCGCGAAAAAAACAATTGCCGTGGTATGTGAATGCACTCATCATAACAAATTAGAGGCTTTTCGTCGTAGTTAATCTACCGCAGACAATTGATATGATAACATCGGTTATTTCGCTTTGTCTATTGCATCAAGTCTTGGGGCCAATTTTTAGCCGGATATTTCTTATTACAATCTCGGCAATGGCCCGTTTGAAATTTTCGGGTGGATGAACTATAATTAACTTCATTAAAAGGTTGCTTCAAATAAGTTATTTATTTCAACATACGTTTCGTTGTAAGCAAAGCATGACAACAAAAATTCGCGTTCATACGTTACTGGATTTACTTCAACAACAATGTTCTGTATTATTATTGAGACATCATTCAAGACATTTTTAATACATTGGAAATGCCCAAAAGGGAACAAAATTAAATCCGGCTATAAATTAATTTGTGGCATGTCAACTCGATGATCTTCTCTTCTGTTACAAATGTCTCGGAGAAACAATAGTTTGAGCCAGATAAATAAAATTCTAAACTCGTTTGAACAGAGGTAATTGTTGTGCTATACTATACAATTTACTTTACAATAGCTCACCAGAGGTTATTGTGAAAAAACAAGCGTAAAAAACTGGACTACAATAAATAAGAATGGCGCAAGCATTTTACAAAAGATGGAGACAGGTGAGCTTGTAGTCAGATATATTATACAGATCCATACAACGAGCATATTGACAGTTGCCATTCGCTTCAAGCAGGGAACCTGTCCTCTGATTTAAATGACACCATAGCCAAATGTAGGTTATCTGGTTTACAAGAAATTAGCATTGACAGGCCGTCTGTACAGCATCTTATTTATATGATTAATAGTTCACAACGAGCTACGGATAATGTACAAATACTATGATGAGATATTGGATGCCATCCAGCAACTTCCATCCGAGGCCGTACAAGTGAGTGGAACGTTAAGTTTTATGCTCCCGCTATTGTATCTTAAATACTTACAATAAGCAGGACTCGTTGGTAAATACTATAGATCAGGTGGCCTATTTGTGTTTAATGTATGATCAAGAATACACATTAAAGGTTGGTTCACATTTACAAATGTTGCTGTTCATGACATGTGAGACCCGCTCTAATTTTTTTATCTATAGGAAACCATTTCAAACTGCATACAATATCGCAAAATAACAGAACAAGAAAATACCGTCTTTGTGGCGGTCTGGAATATACAACCATTTGTTGAAGAAGATAAGCTAAAATTTAGCTAAAGCTCACAGCCAAATCGACCTTGAACATGAGAAACATCCTTTTAATTTCGAATTTGTGATTACAATATACTGAATTACAATTAAACGAGAAAACGTGAAACATTACGATTTTGTAATAAACACCATTTCTCTACCACATATCCCTCCCAATGGTCCCAGTACTCGCATGAATTGACTTCCCACGAAAAACTAGGGTGACCAGTCTAGAAACCGGTATCTCTATGTCGTAAGTAATGCGTAAAAGAACACATAAGAGGATATTTATCAAAATGATCTATTATTACTCTTAAATCTTTAACTAGAAACTATGAATGCCACGATGAAAATAAACAAACGTTCCGAATCCGTCAAAAATAAAGATCAAACACTCACATACACACGCTTTAGTCATGTTCCGTTTTTAGTATGATGTGTGCCCTGCATGTGAATTGTCGATCTAACATCTATATCGTATGCAATGGCATATCCTTGTACGTTGCTTTCTTCATAACAAAAAGTTATCATGCCTGACATTGAAGGTTTGGACAAACATTATGATGTTATTGTCCTCGGAACAGGATATACAGAAGCGGTGCTTGCAGCGTAAGATATTTTGCCCTGTCAGGATTATGTTTGGTTATCTGATCTCTGTCGATTTGCGATCGATTTGACTTTTTTTTTCCCCTCATTAGAGCATTTGCTCAAGCTGGAAAGAGCGTATTACATATGGATGAGAATAAGTACTATGGAAACCTGGAGACTACATTTCAATTTGAGGAGCTGCTTAAATGGTGTAAAAAAATACAAGGTTTGCTCGGTTAAAAACTACTTTAAATGTTGACGCACCGAGTCGTAAGCGTTATTGATTGGCTTTTAAAGACCCAGTTACAAAAACCGCAAGTTTAACGGCAAATGGTACTGACTTTCGATTTTCTTATTATTGGATATAAAGCACGGGAACTTTTCTAATTCATAGATTGCAAATAAATAGGATTCGAGTCTCCTTTAACAACACTACCGTGTGAATTCACGAAGTCGCAAAATGCCATATATTCAGCGGTTGAGTATAAGATATATCCTCGTTCATCATCCACCGAGGATCCTCTTCATAGCCACGTCGATCCACCACCACCAGCATCTGAAGAGGAAGGAACATCAGTGGAAACATCTGCCGAATTGATCAAAGATTCACGCAAATATTGTCTTGAGCTGCTACCGAAACTATATTATTTTAAGAGTGACACAATTGAATTGGTTTCGCAATGCAAGTTGGATGCACTGACAGACGTAAGAGATGGAATTGAGTTTTATCCTGTCAAAGGAATTTATATGTTTAGAAACAATGGAGACTTTGTAAAGGTATGTCTTCTTATTAAAGTGGTTACGAAAAAAGGTTCCTCTGATTTTAAAATTTTATTCTAGTAAAGTGACTATTGATCTAGGTCCCTGTAGGTAGACAAGAAATATTTAAAGAGACGCATCAAAATCTTTCAATGATAAGCAAGAGAAGGCTCAGTAAATTGGCTGAATTTGCTCAATCTTACACAGAGTCATCGGACGTGATGGAAGGCACGCTCTTATTTTAATATGAACTGTTTAGTATGTGTAAACGCATGAGATGTGCGATAATAATATTACTCATGACAGGTTACGAAGAAAAATCGTTTAGCGTATTTCTTTCCGAGAAATTTAATTTTACGCAAGACATTATTGATGTCGTTCTCTATGCTGTTGCATCAAGCCGGAGTGAAGATGGTAAAGAGTTTCATAAAAGATATCACCGACTAATATCAGCGTTTTTTTTTATCTTGACATACGAGCTACTTGCTAACGGCTTTTTCTGTACACAGTGAGTGCAAAAGAAGGAATGTCAAGAACGTCAAAGTTTGTAAGATCAGCTGTCAAGTCGTTACAACAGTCGGACCAACAAAGGGCCTATCATGGCGAATTTGCATTTCTGGTTAACAAATATGGAGGAACAAGCGTGCTTGTTGAGCAATTCAGTTAGTACGTGTTTATTCATTCTCACAAGCAACTTTATTGATTAAGAGTTGACCCTGACATTGTTGCTTATTATTATAGCTCGGGATTTGCAAGATATGGTGGTATCAACATCAATGATAGAAGGGTTCATAACATAGTCATTGACGAAGAGAAGAAACAATACGTTGGTCTGGTTCATGGCAAGAATCAATACCAGTCGTCTGACGTACTGATAACTTCTATGGATTACGTTCCTATACAATTTTCTGGAACGGAATTTGCTTGGTAAATGTCTGAATGTTTATATGCGTCGTAATTTAGTAATTAATAATACGGTTTTACCTCACGTGTCTGATTGTCTCGGCCAATATACTAACAGACCTTCACACCGTTATTTCGTCATAACTTGCAGGGAGCAAATGTCAAGAGCTATAGTGATCATTGATGGACATATTCACCAAGAAGACTCGCCGGCAACAGTAACAATTTATCCTCCAAACATAATTGAAAACAAATACCCAATAACACTACTCCAATACTCACCAATATTGGCAGTGTGTCCACAAAACAGACGTGTGTATTTTATTTGTTTGAATTTCATGCAAGTGAAAGATAGTCTAACACTCGTCTATTTCTTCATAGGCGTTCTTTACTTGTTTACTAAATCGGACAAATCAAGTGCCAAAGATGACTTGATGCAAGCGATTAAAACCGTAGCTAATATACCAGAAGACGGTGACTCAGGTAAGAGTGGCATGCTAGTTGAACGAGTTTTCAAAATATTTGTTCTATTTTCCGTTACATTATTACTACGAATATACGATTTTGTCGCATATGGATAAATTACTAATTGGGACCTTATTTCTTTAGATTCCAAAAAACCCAATGTTCTATTCACTCTCTTTTATTGTCAGAAGGCTCGTAAAATCACAGATGATTTTACCTCATCAATACCTCAAAATATGTATGTTCTCAATGACCCAGATGTAACTATCGATCTCGACGCGTCCACTAAAGAGGCGAAAGACGTATTTGAGAAGATTTGCGACAAGTTTTACCCGAATACCGAGTATTTACCTACTCCCAACGAAGAGATTATTGAAGATGATCTAGATGATGTTAAGGCTGAAGAGAATGACGGGGAGGAAGAGTCAGGTCAGCAACCGTCGAATACAACAGATTCTGGGCAGGCAACTATAGATTAGTAATTCTCGATCGTCAAATTCAGTATACAAGTGACTCTGGTTATAACGACAGCTGGATAAACGACAATTCGACTTTCTTTTGAAAACCGAAGACCGTTTCATTCAGAAATTTTGGCTGATAAGTTGCTAGATAAACCGACAACCACCCTTTTTTGAGAGTGTCGTTATAACCAGAGTTACTTGTATAGATTAATGTGTGTTTTTGATTTTTATATAAAGACTTAATTTAAGGATAAATAAAGCAGTCGTATTTTTCAAACGCGTGTTATAACGCGTCAGTTAAGGCCCTTTGCTTAAGACATTCCAATATTTAGATTTTCATCTCAAGTGAAAAGAGCGTATATTACATGACGAGTTTTTGAGGAGACTATACAATCAGTGCTAAACAATCTAGTTTTTTTCTTTTAACACTAGTGTAGTGTCAACTGCGTTGACCGGGCAGGTTATAATAGGTACAGTTAATATGTTAAGTAATGTGCAGCAGTTAGTTTTATTTTGGATATGGGTTAAAATGGGAAAGTTATTGAAAGTTGTTGAGAAACACGTTGTAGTCTTTCATATTCTTTTACTATACTACATTTGAATCGGTTATGAAAGCAGTTCTGTCTAATGCACTGATGTTGAGGTTTTCCCAAGTCGGATATGTGATGATCTAATGAGACAGTTATTTTTTGTAATGTAAGACCCTGAGTTTTATGTATTGTTAGAGCGAATGAATTCTGTAGAGGAAACCGAGTTCGAGAAGCTTTTTGTCTTGCAGCATAAACGTATGAGGTATCCAACAGTGGACTATTGCATTCTGTACACAAAATTCCACTTGGACAGAGTGTGAATCTTTATCAAATCAGTGATAATGCCAATAGTTCCATTGCAAATACCTTTTTCTATAGAGATTATTTAAGAACATTACGCGAGATCCTTGTTGACAGCGGCCCCGTCGAAGATTCGTTTTCTTCTGTATCTTCTTCTTTTTCAGGAACGAAATATGTAAATCGGGGTAGGCGACAGTATGCAAGACTTTTTTTGTATGTTGTACACGTTTATGTTTATTGCAATGACCGAAAGGGAAGTGGGCATTTTTTTTTTTTACTTTCTTCACGAGAAAAGTAATGTAGAAGGTATGGCAATTGGGAATTTAATTTTTTTAAAGATATTTTATACATTTTTCTTGTTTATGTTTGTTTACTGAGAAAATGACGAATATCATCATAAAAGAATCAATTTATGTTATGTATTTTTCGGTAAATTTTTGGTATCTTACACATCAGTTAATTAAATAACCGTTTGCTACGAAACTCAATTGATTTTTAAGGTATACGCAAGATTTTTGTCTGAATGTATTTCCTTTTTTGTAAATACGACCTTTGATCAAAAAAGAAATATGTTATAATTACGTATTAAACTTTCCATTTCTCATGTGTGCTTTTACGTAATTATGTTTTTGAATCTATCTAAATTTGATTTAATCAAATAAGCGATAATAACATTCTTGCCATGATAAATTGTTATTTGTAAATTATATTTGTATTGGGTTTCGTTTAACGGGCGTAACAGTAAGTATAAGGTTTAATGTTAATCTAATGAAAGTTGGTGAAACATCTGTAGGTTTGACAATAACGATAAATACGTTAGTCACATGTCAAATAGATCGACTGTGGGAAACATATTTTAATCACAGATTTGGAAATTGGAAATGTTTGGGATGATAGCGATAGTGCTCATATTAGCTATTGCCAAATAAGGCATTAATTGGGGCAACGTGAATTTTTATCGTATACATTCTTTCAATTAAACAGTCTATTTATTTCCACTCTCCAGATCAAACCATTGGCGTAATCAAATCTCCAGCCCAAATACACAATAACGCGACTATATTTCCCATCCAAAACAAACATCAGATGAGACTAACAGACAAAGGGTTAAATTTTGTAATGACATATTCGTCAATCGTTCCCTCTCATATATGGAAGTATAACGTGGCGCAAATGTGTATTTTTATCATGTGTGCCCTGTGACAATGAACGTAATTTGAGATAATGAGCCCGCGACAATTAGGTAATAGAAATCGAACATGTGGACTTCAACATCACAATAAATATATATAACTTTATTACTGCATAAAATTAAACGTATTCGCAAGTGACACTCTTAACAGCCACAAGGGGCGAAGTCCTATAAAATTCTAAATCTAGTTTATAATAACTGATGAATCCGTGATAAGAATAAGAGAGCTATTATCGATTTGTTATAAAAATTCAGCTACATCGCTGGGATTTACATCCAACGATTTAGAGCATCGCCATATTGTTTACAACTTCTCCCCTTCTCGTCCGTAGTGGTGTTGCATTAGATTGCAATAAACTTCATTTGCTCGAGTTGGTTCAGCGTCAAAAGCATGCTGATGAAACATGGCATAAGCATACTATTCTGAACGCTACAGCATTGTCCGGTTCAAGTTCCAGAGATTTACTAAGGCCTTTTAATGCTTCCTTATATTGTTATCCCTGAGATGGTCAGCTCCTCTATTGCTCAGCTCAAGCGCGTCGCCCCGTGGAATAATTGATTGCGTAGAAAGCTTGCCGTTAGGGAATTTCCATTAAATAAGCGCGTAAAGATAACCAATGTCTGTGTTATCCTTGCTGAAAATGAAGTTATCGGCAAGCGCCAAAGTGGTTGGGAAAAATCGAGTTGCAATGTGAATTTCACCTTTGATGCCTTTACAGTCAACATGGTTAACTTTCTCCATTTATCGAGTTCTTTTCCGCTCTCGTATTCCCCTTCTTACTCTTAACGATTAATTTAACACGTAGAAACCGAGATAAGTAATCTGACACAAAGAGATTGTCGTCAAAGATCCTCAAGGTGATCTTAGCGTTTGATCCATAAACTGACACTTTTTCCCAGACTGGATTGTTCGTCGATGGCGCTATTTTCGTTCTGGCGACTTCCTTGGCAGTGGCGTCAAAACGATAACATATGGATCATTCGATCGGAACCAACCACCATTTTGGAGCCCAATGGCTTGTCTCCCAGAAACTTCTACCGCAATAGCTTCTTCTGTAACTTCTTCAGAGACAGTATCTTCGGTAATTGTAAGAGAACTTTTGAAAGATTCGTCCAGTCGGAGAGTTTCTTCACCGACTTGACAACGGATATTCTTGCCGCTTCGAGAAGCTCTTTTTCTACTTCTTTGTTGATAATTTGTGCACTTAACCAGGCGGATGACTTCTTGTATGTAATTGCCCATTTGTCTCTGTGATCGACCATGGTACATCGGAAGCTAAGAGAAGAATTGCCGTACTGTAGATATGGACATCAAGTTTGGCGACTTTGGAATAGGATGAGAAGTGGGTCTGCACTTCTTTTTGCGCTATTCCTGTTGACTCAAATCAACAAGATGGGCATTGAGCTTGTATGAACCTGTTTCGCTTTGATAAGAAATGATACGACGAATGACTTGGACTGTGACAGTGCGTCGAGTGGTGATTATCTTCTTCTCAACAATTCCAAAGCTTTGTTGTTTGTGTTCTTCGCTTTCCCATTCTGTGACGTTGTAATGTTACGGCGAATGACTTGGACTGTCGAGTGGTGATTGTCTTCTTCTCAACAATTCCCATTCTGTGACGTTGTAATGTTTGATAACGTAGCGATTCACTTCTGTGTACATCATTAATTGATTCACTAATCCATGTTTCCCGTTTTTGT